AAAAAAAAAAAAAAAAGTACCCATTTGTATTACCTCCAACTATGTGGAAGAAGGTTGGTTTCTCTGCCAAATACTATCTAACTTTAATTTTTTTCTGATTTGATGGGTGAAAATTAGGGCCTCAGTTTCTATTGGTCAGTTTGTTTGCTTGCATTTCTTTAATTACTAGTGAGGCTGAGCATCCTTTCATATTTCACACCTTCTACTTTTCTCTTTCTGTGAGATAGCTATTCATACATTTCACCTGTTGAATGTTTTTTTACTGATTTGTAAGTTTTTTCACATAATAAAGAATTATTTCTCTACAATATATACTGCAAAGTTTTTTAGCAACTTAAAATTACTTTTTTACATGATTTGTTCAGGCAGAATATGAAATTTTATGAGATAAAATTGATATAGTTGAGTTTTGTGTCTTGTTGTGGTATGTACGTGTACATATGTACACACATATACACCTATATGGTTACGTGTATGTATGTAAATATGATTTTTAAAGCATATTTTATGATTTTTTTCTATTTAAATCTTTGATCTCTCTGTTATGGAAGAGAGGGATCTGCTGATCAGCAGTGAGTAATAACAGCTGGTAACTTTTAAATAGCAATTATCCTTTGCTGGGAAAATTTAAAGACCTTCACAGCAGTAATTAAATGAGTGTACACTTGTCCTCCCCATCTGACAACAAATACCTTGAAGGTAGTGACTGAGCCTTTGTCACCCATTTAATTTGCTCTCAGTACTGAGAAGAGTTCTTTGCACACAGTAAACTCAGTAATTTACTCAGTAAACTCAGTTCATTCATTTATTAAAAAAAAGAATTAATTCTGAAAATAATCCTTAACTTTAAAATTACATTAGTAATTTATGTACATTCTAAAAAATAACAAACAACACAAAAAATATAAAGAACCCAGCCAGGTGGAGCAGTTAGTTGGAGCACTGTCCTGCATAACAAAAGGTTATGGGTCCAATTCCCGGTCAGGACACATATCGAGGTTTCGGGTTCGATTTCCTGTAGGGGCAAATACAGAAGGCAACCAATCAATGTTTCTCTCTCTCTCTCTGCCTTCCTCTGAAATCAATGGAAAATACCCTTGGGTAATTTTATATATATATTTAAAATTTGCTTGCAAGCCTCCCATCCAGAAATAACCGTGATCAACATTTTGTGACTTTTACTTCCTATTATGTGATATACTATCAGATGTAAAGATAGCAGAGTGCACAGTTTTGTTTTGTTTTCCTGCCATAAATTATGTATTTGGGGAACTCACCCTATCCTACACTTGTTCCAAGGGGTGTATTTTCATCCCAGGCCAGGTCAAAGGACTTCATTGCCCCCACCCCTCCTTCAGGGGTGTGACCCAAGACAGGCCAGTGACAGACCCCCCCCCGGAAACACTGGGAGAGAGGACTGTTGTTTTGCTGGGATTTTACAATATGAAGATGATAGAAGGGTGGAGCTGCCAGGTGAGTCGTTCTTGCCAGAGAAGAAGCCAACCAAGTAAGAAGAGATGGAGAGAGAGACCTGGGGACATCCCTTCAGCTTCTGGATCCAGCTACACCTGAAGCAGCCTCCTATTCCCACGAACCAGGACTATATTCCTTTCTGGGTTTAAGCTGGTTGGAGTTGTGCTTCTGTCACTTTCATCTGGAATAGTTTTGACAAACATAGGAATAGTCTGATAGAATTTCAGGGTGTTCTGGCGAGGACCCTAAGAAATACGTGACTCTTGACTCTCCTCTTTTCAGAGTCTTCCTATGGGGAGGAAAAAAGGGGAATGGACACACAGAGCAAAGAAGAGCAATAGCAGAAAATATTCTTAGCTGACTGAGTAACCAACCACCCCTGAGACTCTCAAGTAAAGGTCAGTCGGGGCACTGGGCCACCCCCTACACAGGATCTCCCTCTCTCCCAAGGCTCTTTATACAGGGCAGGGCAAACGGAGGTTTGCAATGTGAGTCCATGAAACACAGTTTATTCTGGTATTATTATTAACTATGGTATTATTTTCCATACAAACAACAGTAAACCTACGTTTGCCCCACCTTGTAAACTGCCACATTAGTTGCCAGACAGGTTGTTTTGATTATACAGTCCCATCAGAAGGGGCTGAGTTTTATATTGTGAGGATGAGAGAAGCTAATTAAGCGAGGTTTTATAGCCAAACAGGCTTCAATTAGATGAGTAACTGCCTGATAGGAACAGACTTGAGCGGCGAGAGCAGCAGCTCTCAGAGGTAAGTGCGAGTATGAGAAGTTTCCATGCACAGTCAACCGAGCAGAGAGGTGGCTTCATAAAGACAATTTTTGCTGAAGTTACCTTACAATAAGGAGACTGTGGTTATCTGGTGGTCAAGACAAGACGCCTTAATAAATGGAGAAATATTATCAATTCTGGCTCGTTCACTCGTTCATTTGTTCCTTCATTCATCTGTTCATTCCACAAAACTTCTGGGGAGCCTATCGCACGCCAGGCACTGCTCAGGGGCTGGGGACACAGTGACAAACAAGATGAAAGCTTCCAGCTCATGGACCACACCTCAGAAGCATCCCAGGTACCTTAAACTGAACTTGGACTGTCCATATAGTATCTGTACAGTGATGGGCATCCACCTGCAAAGGGATAAGAACAACTGAGGTAATATCTGGACAAACAGAACAGTAAAAGTCAGACCCTGTAGAGATGATGGGCTTGCTTCCTCCTGAATTTTCTGCAGAAAAGCCTCAATTCTTTTGCTTTTCTGGTAGAACTGTCTAGGAATTGGCTAAGAATGTTCACAGCACTTACTCTGGAGGGATTTAGGAATCTAGAGATGAAAGGAGCTGATATATATGTGTGTGTGTGTGTATATACATATATCATTGCAATGTAGTGTTGCTACAGATGAAATGCTTTTGTGATTTATAACGTTTATAATGACAGGTTAGAATTACACAGGATGCTTTCCCCAGTGATTTATTCCATGCGTTATTTCTTTACCTTTCCAATGTGACCAGAATGGAGGGGGCAATTATCGGTCTCTTGATGTTGCAGGTAGGGAAACAGAGGTGACTTGTTCGCATCATAACTTATGACCAGGTTTATCAGAAAGTCTATAAGGGAAACCAATTACACCTGCAGAGTTTGCCTAGCTCTCTGGGTCAGGCTTTCACGTGAACCCAGAGTATGACCTAACAGTCATTTAACCTCATTAGGTTTCATCTTCTTTGTCTGGAATATGGGGCAATGAGCTAGATTCAGGTTCCACTAGCTTTCAGTAGGCACCTATTATGTGCAAATCATGTTAGACACTTTTGATGCTATCATATTAAAGTGTATTACATTTTAAATTAAAATTCACAACAAATGAAGAAACCTAGGCACTAAGAAGTAACTTGCCTAAGGTAACCCAGCTAAAGATAGTCAATATGTTAATCCAGCATTCTTGACTTCAACAGTCAATGCTTTTTCCTCTCTACTCTAGCACTTTTCTCGGTATTTTAGCATTCTATAAAGTCACAGAAAACTATGGATGCATGCTGGTTTGTTGACATATAAACTAAAACAATCCTATCATCCAAAATCCATGTGATCTGAGTGAAATAATTAATATATCTAAATTAAAATTTAAAAGTTTAAGTTTATATAACCAATTTTTCTTATGATTGTTGGGTCCACTTGCTCAAACATCACCTCTGGTCCTTGTAACCACACCCAGCAGTGGGGCAGTTTGATGTGTCTGAGTTAGAAGAGAGACAGACAGATGGGGGAACTCAGTTCATAGGAAGGCTGTGTGAACCAATATTCAGGTGGTGCAAACTGTCATCGGTCTGCATCCTGTCCATTGTGGGTTAAACCTACCCCATCGCTTTTCCTGGTTCTCACAGGGGGTTTTAAATGGATATAATAAGCTGTGTGATTGGAGCATCTTAATTTGGGCTGTGAGTCTTCCTGTTCTGCGACCTCTGTGCTAAGATTCCTGGTCGTGCACTTGGAGACAACAGTTACATCAGGTAATTCCCCACGTGGCACTGCTGGCCAATTTGGGCCTCATTTTTCTTCCCATATATTTATTGCTGATGATAATTACATTGCAGTGGGTAAAGAATAGGCCATTTCAGAAAGAGATCTGGTCATTGAAAAAGAACATTTAATGTATCGCTGTCGCAGGGATACATTTCAGTAATTGTCTGGCTGCTGCAGACAAACAAAAGAAGGATTCATGGCTTGGCAGGATAAAATCAGAGCACTTGGAAGCTGGTTCCAATTCAAACTCCCATTCTGAAAGGTGAGATTTAGTGACATGTCAAAGGTCACTATTTCTACTACAGAGTAAGCCAGAACAGGAGCTGGGCTGTCCACAGAAGCTCGGGGTTATTTGAGATACTGTTGCTGTTCCTGTCTGGGTCTTGGCTAATGACCAAGCACACACTCTAGCACATACTATGTAATGACTAAAAATAGAAACTACAGCTGCCACAATTAATAGATTCACATGAAACGATGCAAAAACAACAACACAGGGCATGTCTGTTTATTAACAGGGTATATGGCAGTGTCACCGAGACATTGCAAGTGCTAAAAATTGCTGTTCTTGGCCCTGCCGATTTCATCATGAAGACACACACTTCCATTTGCTTCTAGAAGCCTGAACTTTAGTCTGTCTTCTCAAGTCAGTTGATTTTAGCTGGGAGTTTATGCCCGATTATTCAAAACATTAAATTCAAAAAAGCTTTTACTCACCAGCTAATATATATGAAGAACTGTGTCAGATGTTTGGAACATAAAGATTAAATGATGTTAATCAACAAACACTTTGGACTTCTTTCTGTGGGCCAGGCACTGCCCTAGGCACCAGGAAACTGCAGTAACAGTGGCTTAAGACAAAGAAGATTCACCATCAATAAAGTCCAGAGCCTCAATGGGCAGCTCAGCTAGGACCTCAGGGATCCAAATGGCTTTTGTCTTCCCATTTCCTCTTAATATTTTGGAATTTTCCTTTGGGCTTTCCGCTTTGTGGTCACAAAACACCTGTTTCAGCTGTAGGTATCATGTCCTCATAATATCATCTCCAAGGCAAGATGAATGAGGGTGGTGAGAGAGATCTCTTACAAGTCTCTCATTAGGATGAAGACAATTTCTATCCTAAGGCTTCCCAGCACACTTCCCCTCGGAGGGGTATTGCTCTTAGAACTTTCTGTGATGTTGAAACCAGCCTATAATTTGTGCTGTCCAAAACAATACCTGCCAGCCACACACAGAGAGCACCTGAATTGTGGCTAGTGTGCCTGAAGAACTGAAATTTTAGTTTTATTTAATTTACATTTAAATGCTGACATGTACCCAGCTTCTATCATATTGAACAGTAGAGCCTTTGATTCCTTTTTGGCTAGAACTAGGTTATAGCCACCAATAGTTGGAAGGGAGGCCGGGAAATAATTAGCTCTTTCAGTCTCTAAGGGAGAAAGAGTTTAGGAATGGCCATTCGGCAGCATCCAACAGTGCCTGCCACAAAAAATGAACAAGACAGAGTGTCAGAGAGCTGGTATTTCAGTGGGGGAGGCCAACAGCATCAACATGTAAATGAATTTTTAAAGGTACCTATCTTCAGGTCCAAACAAGCCGTATCATCTAAACTCAGTCTAGATAATTGGTCTAGATTCTAGAGTATCGTAATAGGGAGTAATTGAAGGTGGGAGGGAGTAATTTAAGAAGAGGGCTGGGAATAGCCTCTAGGAGTTCACAGTCTGGTGGAGCAGAAAGAACAGCGGCACATAAAAGAAAGTGTTAATAAATAGGGTAGCACATATGTATATACGCACATATATTTATTATATATGTGTTTACACACACAGTGAGTACAATGTCTATATTAGGAAGAGAAACAAAGCATCTTTGAGTGTTTCCCTGGGCTCTCCTACAAGCCTCACACAACCTCGCAAGACAGGATCTGCAGCGTAGAAGCTTTGGAATGCGGTCCTTCTACCAGCCCTACAGCCACGGTTGATGCAATACAGTTTTACCGACTGGGTGTACATGAGAGCGGTTAACCAGCAATTTCTCAAACAGTTCCTACAGGGCATTAGAGAGGGGGACAGTCACAAACGTGGGAAAAACTTAGAAAGGACCTGTTCAGTCCTACAACTTCCAACAGTACAATGTTCCTGACACCGGAAAGGGGGGTCAGCAGTAGACAGACCTGTCTTGCAAGAGGCTGTCAGGGCAGGGGTAGCTTAATTAAAGCAAAGACGTTGGTGTGACCCAGCCTAAGTGACAGGAGGTTTCAGACAGTATCATCCTGAGATCTTTGCTTGCGTGGAAAGGACTACTTGCCATGTCTCATGAGCCCACGCTTATACAGAATCTATGGGTTGTGTGCATTCAAAGGACTACAGTGTTGAAAGATGTGCTTTCTAAAGCCCTGTCCAGCTTGAATCTACTACTGTTTCAGGACCTATAATGATTTTTATTTTCAAAGTTAGTATGAGTGATTTCTATGCAAGAATGACTGAAATTATCCATATACTGAAACATTCCCTCTATATTTCTCCTTGGAGCCATAAGACCTCTTTTTCTGATAATTCTGTATTTTATGGAACTTTCTCTCCTAGTGAGGTAGAACGAGGCCATGTACCAAGTTGATGTCAGTATTTGTGGTCAGCAAAGTCCAAAAGAAACATGCACAGTTATTTCAAGTACAGGCTGAAATAGACTCTGTGAAAATAGTCACAGATTCTGAGTTCACATGCGAACTTGCGGCTGTGACAACAGTAACAAGGTTATTAAAGTCTCCGTAGCGCTCCAGTAACAAGTTTTTATCTTTATGAAGAAAAAGATGACGATCACGATTTTGTTAGGGAAGAGTAATTCTTTAAGTAAATTCAGTAGAAATGTGACCAATTTCCGCCACTTAGCACAAGAACCAGTGTGCCTTGCAAGCTTACTAGTAGATTTAAAGCTACTTAATGGTGGTGACAGTTTCCCGCTTTTTCTATCCATCAGTATTGAGACCTGCAGTGTTCAATGCCACAGCCACTAGGCACCTTGGGCTATCTAAATTCCAATTTTAATTAATGAAAATGAAATAAAATGAGAAATTATCTTCTCACCTCACTCTAGCTTCCAGCGGTAGACAGCCACGCACGTTGCCATATTGGCCAGCACAGACCTAGAAGATTTTTATCACAGGGCATACTATTAGCAAGAACACTGTTAGGTTTACATAGTTGAATCTAAAATATGTTGATCAAATGAAGTGCTATTTAAATTTAATGCAATAGTGTACATTAAATGAAGGCCATTTGCCCACTATTGGGAAAGTTTTTGTTTTATAAATAGCTCTCTGGGAATTGGGCCCTAAAATAAACTCTGTGGGGGCCTTAGGCAGTACTGATCTTGAACCTTTGGATCCAGGCAAGAAAAACCCTGCCTTGGTTTTAGAGCGTAGCATCCTAGCTCTGCTTTCCAAGGGGTGAAAAATCTCCAGCGCCAAGGGACCTGTTCCTCAAGAGCCTGTGCCCCCCTCCTACTTCTAGACCTTGTCCAAGGTACCCAGGACTCCATACACCACTCGCCTTACAGGTTGTTAATCACGGTATCTTTCTCAAGGCAGGAGAATAGAATATATTTTACTTGTTAGCTTAATACACTTCTTGTAAATATTTTAATTTAGGGTATGTGAGCCTGGTCTTGCAAACCTCAAGGCGGGTCAGGCAGCCTTAGCTAGAAGAGCATGTGATGGAGCCAGCTGGGGTTTCTTGGCTAGTTCGCTCACTATTGCTCTAACTGGTCACGTCTGCCATCATTGGCTGTCACAGGGAGATTTCTTTCAAAAGGCTGCTGGTCCAGGAGGGCCCCAATGCATCCTTAGCAGGGACCCAAGCCAGAGTTTCTGAAGTCCAGGAGGGTCTGAGAGTCCATTTTCGTGGCGAGGAACCTGCTCCTCGCTGTGGTTTATGTGGGACCAGGGAGGCTACTTACGGTGAAGCACGAGGAGGCTGACATCGCTTCCCGGGAGGGAGCGCGGCTCGGACCCGTTCCCTCGCCTCTCCTTCCCGGGTCAGCCCCGCCCTGCGCCCCCGCGGCGGCCGGTCGGGCACGAGGGGAGGCCCGGGGCGCAC